AAATGAATGACTTTCTGTCAGTGTCGCTCAGACTAAGAAGTCATTTAAAAGATTTAATCTCAGCCTCTGAGAAGTTGTGATGGACTTGTTTGACTTTTTATTGACATTTAACAGATTCAAACATTTATTGATTGATTTAAAAAAAGCCTTAATCATCAATAATAACAAGAATAATGAGTTAACGCTCTAAATATGTGGTATGAAACATATTGGATTGTATGAACTGGACCGTACTGATTTCAGGTTCCATCCCAGATTCTACATGTGAATTATAAATCTAGATTAAATGAGATGAATAAACTTGAACAGTGTTTGTACGCCATGATTCACTCATCAGGCTGAACAGTTCAGTCCATTCATTGATGAGATGATCCACAGAAAATGAAGGGACAATCATTTTGATCATGGACTCATTATTTCAGTCTCTTGAATCCAAAAGGTCCAAAATGTTTTTTCCAGTTTGTCAAATATGACAATTAGCTGCTTTGATCAGTTTGATATGATTGTAAATGAAACAGCGTTCAGTGTTATTCTGGAGCTGTTTGAAAGTTCACCTTATTCTTTGTTGACGTTTCAAAGAAGTGGTTGGTTCATGAATCAATCCAAATAATGTGATCATGAATCTTTATTCTGAGCTCTTCATAAAAAGTCCAAGTACACATTAGATGAGATGATCTCCACTGTTCTGACCTCAGTGTTGGCTCGTCCTCTCAGGCAGCATCAAACAAACATCTGCAGCTGGAAACAGCTGTTGTTAGTGTTGAATGATTGACAGATGGATGAAGCAATCAGGACGCACAGACTGTCTCCCAGTCTCCATAGTCCTGGTGGTCTCTGCCTTATTGTGAGCAGCTGTAGTAACACACTGCTGAACTCTGTGAGGGCCGAGCAGGAGAGTCTACAGGACTGATCCTGGACTGAGACTCTCCTTCAGAGGAAACTTGGAGAACAGCTCGGGACAGTCGAGTGTGTTTCTCACAGGACGAGCGAAATGTTGACTGATCCACAGAGAGTCCACGTTCAGTCCAGGACCAGTTTAATCTGAGTCTGCTAGTCAGGACTACAACTCAGAGAGAGAGAGAGAGACTCAGTGTGTCTCTGATGTAATAATAAAGATTTAAACTATACCTCTCTCTCTCTCTCTCCCTCTCTCTCCCTCTCTCTCTCTCGCTCTCTCTCTCCTCTCTTTCCCTCTCTCTCTCCCCCTTCTTCTCTCTCTCTCCTCCCCCTCTCTCCCTTCTGTCTCTCTCCTCTCTCTCTCGCTCCTCACTCTCTCTCTCTCCCTCTCTTCTCTCTCTTCTCTCTCCTCTCTCTCTCTCTCTCTCTCAGGTGTTCACATTTCCAGAATATGTACGGCTGTGAGTGGGATGATGAGACTGGAGATGTTAATGGTTTTATCAGTATGGTTATGATGGAGAAGACTTCATAGTTCTGGACCTGAAGACATGACGTGGGTCGCTCCACAACAACAGGCTGTCGTCACCAAACAGAAGTGGGATAATACAAAGCTGAGTTAGAGAGAGAAAACTACCTCACCCAGATTTGTCCTGACTGGCTGAAGAAGTATGTGAACTATGGGAGGAGCTCTCTGATGAGAACAGGTAGGATCAAATGACCTGATGGAGTTGAATTCTGACAATGTTCATCTTCTTCTTTTCTTGTTTATCTTGTAATTGAACAATAAATATTTCACACATGTTTCTATCACACATGCTCTGTCTTCATCTTTAAGCTTCCCCTTACCTTTCCCTTCATGTTAGATCTCTTTCTCTCTGCTGCTCATCGCTCTCTCTCAAAGTTTCTCTGTGTTTTTATTGTACTTTCTCTCTCTCCTCTTCTTCTTCATCAATCCATCTGAACCCCCCTCACCTCTCTTCTTCTGTTTCTTCCCCTCTGACCCTCTCTTCTTTGAATTATACTTTAATAAGGTTGATTTTCATTGTTGACTCACTGGATTTTAAAGTCCCTTTTTTTCCCAGTACATTTAAAAAGTGTCATCAAACATGAGTTGTAACAGTATTTAAGAGTAAATCCTGATAAAGAAACTCTAATCTGTCTTCCTGTTTGTCCTCCAGACCTCCCCACAGTGTCTCTCCTCCAGAAGACTCCCTCCTCTCGGGTCACCTGCCACGCTACAGGTTTCTACCCCAACAGAGCCATGATGTTCTGGAGGAAAGATGGAGAGGAGCTTCACGAGGACGTGGACAAGGGAGAGATCCTCCCCAACCACGACGGCTCCTTCCAGATCAGCGCTGACCTTCAACTGCCCTCTGATGACTGGGGGAAGTACGACTGTGTGTTTCAGCTCTCTGGTGTGAAGGAGGACATCGTCACCAAACTGGACAAACGAGAGATCAAGACCAACTACGGTAAGACCTCGATGAGAAGTGATGAAAGAGAGGATTTGACTGTAACAGTCGTGTGATGGAGGGAAAGTTTAGTTGTGACTTTTTCTTTCTTTCAAACTCTTCAAATTGTAAAAGTATTCAGAAAAAGAGTTTAAAGGTTTGGATCAGGATGAAACAAACACAGAGATCTTTAAAGAGATTATTAATGGACAGAATCGTTTTGTTTTTTACCGTCTGTCCGCTCGTTACCACAGTGCAGCCGCATTAACCTTTAAATGACTTTAAATCAATAATATTGAGAAAAAAGGGTTTGAATGTAATCGTTAGCGGTTACCATTGTGCCACAATCAAACATGGAAATAAAAGACATAAAGGTGAAGGGAAAAAACAACTACATGTAGAAAATGAATCAAAGGTACAGTGATGAAGACGAGCTAACTGACAGAAGGAGAAACTTTGTCTTTAATGAACCTTTAACCTGTTTGATCACAGGTTGTGTGACTGTGTGTTGTTTGTGTTCAACAGTGAATCCCATCTACATGATCATTGCCATCATCGCTGTTGTTCTCTTTCTTGTAACCATCTGTGTGGCTGGATTCTGCCTGTATAAGAAGAGAAATGGTGAGAGAGCAAAGTGGAAACATTCAAACATGTTTTTTATATTTACATCTGGTGAATAGTTCTCTTGAGGGGACCTTAAATAACCTTCAATGAAATAAATCTAGAACAATCTTTTTTTTTCTGTTTCAGCCAAACGCCCTCCATCCCGTAAGTAGAACTTGATTTTATTATATTAAGTTTGACCTTAAATGAACTCTGTAAATGAAAAAGGGTTTCTGGAGTGTTTTCTGGTGTAAATGATGGTTTCAGAGTCGGATGTGTGCTAACATTGTGTTTCTGATCTTACAGCGGTAAACGACCCGGCTGTGCAACAAATGATGCTTCCAAATCAAAATGCCTAAAAGACAAAGAGAGGACCCTGAACCCAGTGAGTTACATGAAATAAGCCTTTAATTCAGGATATAGTCATTGTTCTGGTGGTGTGTGTGGTAAGTCAGGAAGACACTGCATGTAAACATTACTTCTGCTGCTGCGTCACCTGGACAGAGGCGGTAACCACAGCTACAGGCAGAGAGAAAAGAGAGTCACAGGTGAATGGGGAAGAGGAATCAGGAATCAGAGGAAGACACACAGTTTTTAAACCGTGTGTGTGTGAACGTGTTTTTGAGTCCTGTCATGTTTATTATCATGTTTTCATATACGAGCTTATTCTTTTCTTTTTGGTTGTTACAGTAATTCTTTAAATCTGATTATAAAACTGCATAAAGGAGATCGTTTCTTTGTTATTGTAAAAAAGTTGATGACTCATTTTAGTGAAAAAGTGTATTTGAAGTGAAGGGAGATGATTTAAAGAAAGGTGCTTCAATGATGAAATCACTGTGACCTTTGACCTTGATGTTAAAACCTGGATTTGTGGATAAATTCTGTAAAAAAAAGTGATGATAAATATTTTTTAATGTCATGTTTTCTCTTTCTTCTGTCTTTTTCTCTAAAGGTTTACGGGTACGTTCTGCACTGAAACAAGGAGCAGACCGACACGCTCTCCTCAGAATTCATTGGCTCTCATCGTATCAGACATGAAGTGATCAGAGTTGGGAATTTAAATTTAAATCTTTGAAATACAAAGAAAACGCGTTTGAAAAAGAGTTGACAAATGCTTTACAAATCTTCTTTAGGGTTGTTTGGTGACGTTAGTTTCAAATATAAAAAGCTTTTCCGCTGATAAAAGACGCTTAAATACATTTAAATGAAAACTTGATGATTTATTTTTTCACCTGGAGAGAAGAGAATCAGAAGATGAATCTATGACGGCATCACGCCGCTCTTCATGTGTTGAAGAAAGATTTGTGTGTTGATCTAAAATCCATCATAGTTGGATTTTTTACTTCTGGTGTTCGAGCTTTGTGCTAAAACAAATGTTGGTGATAAATACGTTAATAAAGACACACACACACACACACACACACACACACACACACACACAATACAAACATTAAACATTTTGTTTTCCAGTTGTGTAAATAGTGTCGCTTATTTCTTTTTTTAAGATTTATTTTTGGCCTTTTGGTACCTTTACTGTAGAGATAGGACAGAGGATAGAGTCTGAAATCAGGGAGAGAGAGAGAGCGGGGAATGACGTGCAGGAAAGGAGCCACAGGTCGGATTTGAACCTGGTCCGCCCGCTTGTAGGACTATAGCCTCCATTCACCAGCTCCTCAGTACTGTTTATTTCTGCATAAGTAATGAAGTGTGTTGATTTAAACGAGGCTCAAGAGATTTATAATGTTTGTGTTTTAAGGTTTTTCATTAGTAATCAGGACTATGTTGTTTTTTCTTCTGTGATATATATTTTTAAATTAAGTTTAAATGCTTCAGCTGATAAAAAGAAAAGTTGTTAGATATTTGTCTACTGATCAGAATAATTGAATGATTTATGTTAAGTTGTAAACCAATCAAAATGTAGAATCAATGCTCATAATCAGTTATTATGCCGGGTGATGTAAACATTACAAATTTGATTTTGTGTTTCAATAAAGCCTTTAAAAATTCCAAATGTGTGTCTTCTTGTGATTTCACATATTGTCTGAATACATTCTGTTGTTAAAATTTACTTTCTCTGTCCAACATTAAAACTTTTTGGTCTCTTATATTCGACCACCTATCAAAGCTTTTAACATAAAAATCACTCCTGATCCTCTACTCGCTTTCTTTGGAGCGGTTGTTGTGAATCCGGCTTTGTTAATTAAATCACATTATCCTTCTGCAGTGGAAGTCAGAGACTAGTCCTCTATTCCAACAGTGGCTCAGAGATCTGGGGAGTGTACTTCTTCTTATTAAGAGATCACAGATCATGTTTTCCTGAAAATCTGACATCTCGTATTTGATAAAGGGGACAGACACCCGGGAAAAGCTCAAAGTTTAGAGGGCTCACACTCTTGAACATATATAGACTTGATGAGTGAATGTTTCTCATCCTTTTAGCTGGTGTCCTTGGCTCTGTTTTAACCTTTGTGTTGATGTTTGTCTCTTTTTGTTTTTCTTGGTCTATGCTCCTCTCCCATAAGCTCCTCTTGTATTGAACCCTGTATACACTACTCTCCCAAAATGAGGACCTGTGGGGATGCACAGGTGATGGGATTAGTTGTCTTTTATTTTCCCTTCAATTAAAACACATTTTGAAGAACAAGAACTTGCTTTCTTATTGAATAAGAAGAGGCACTCTAAGAAAAGATGTGAGAACTGTCATGTAAACTTTGCAGACTCCACTTTCCTCTTGTACTGCATGTATTGAACTGGTTTTCTCCTGAGCAAACCTGTTGCACTGAAGTCTGCCTAGCAACAAGGGACATGTGACTGTAAACTCTCCTGCTCTGTTGCTCCTCTAAATAAACTTTTATTTTGCTATGTAGTATATTTTAATCACTTTAAAAATACCTTTTAGTATTAACATATTATAAATAGCTCCACTCACTTTAATATATAAACATGTTAACAGAGCTGTGATACCTGCAATGTAAAAATGTGTCATTAAAATTCTGTCATTAAAAGTTCAAAGTAAGTAAATGAACTCGGACTCATAGTTTTATAAAAGGAAATTAACGTTGACAAACCTGATTCAACTCAAGGACACCAGAACCTGTGGAGCCGAGTTCTGCATGGCAACAGATGACATCACAGCTCCTGTTACTACAGTGTGTTTAAAATATCTTATTTTATGATGCATTGTCAGCCTGGGCGTAATTTAAGGCTGTTAATGAATCATCCATAAAATACAGAAGAGTCATATGCACCCAAACTGTGTTTATTTTTTATTTAAATAAGTACATAAGCGTGATAAAGTAACACTCACAGACTGTAAATATTACGCTAACGCCCTCTCAAAGGAAATCAAAATCTCACCTCACAGGTTCAGGGCTGATTTGAGCCAGTTGAAAAGTCAGTAAATTATATCTGCTCCATCATGTATTTCTGTGCTCTACATTTCAACACCTCGATTTCTGGATTTACCTTTTACTTAAAATGTTTTGACACTTTTATTTTTTCTGTACTTTATAGTTGTGATAAAACAATGATAGATTCATGGAAACTGTTATTCTATGTATGTAAACACATCAACTACAAGTCAAAATATTGAATTGGCCTGGTTTGTTTAAACTGAGAGATTTAGTTTTTGTTTCGTACTGCCTCTCTCTCATGGCTCGGGTTCCCGACAGTTTATACCATAAAGCAACAAAATGGATCAGCTCAGCTTTATAATCAGTACATGAAGAAAAGTGTTTGGGTTAGTTCAAAATGAAAGCTTCTGCAATCGTACACCAATCAAAGTGCAGGGATCAGAGTAAAACTTCTTTCTTTTCCAAATGATTCCTCCTAGTGATGAACACATCATTCTGGTGATTAAGAGCTTACAGGAAATCTAAAAACACTGATCAGGGCCACACCAATAAATCTAACTGATGAACTCAGCCATCACATATGTGAAAAGGAACAGCCCAAACAAAGCATTCAAAAAATGCACCTAAATGTTGTCAACACGGGGAGTAGTTGGCAAACACACACACATCACTTATTTATTCACTGGATATGATGCACTATGGCTCCCAAAAATATACTTATTTATTAGCTATGCGCATTAAAGAACACGTTTCTTCATCAGGTGCTGTACAAAACCATGGAGTCCCACTCGTGGGCTGGACTTCAAAGTAAAGCAAATGAGATTGAGCAGGTGAGTAAAAGTAGTTGGTAACCTGACATGTAGTTGAGCATGCTGCAGCAAACAAAGGGAGTGAGCGTGGCGTGCTGCAGACAGGTGAGGCCTGATAGGTTGAAGGCAGAAAAAAGACTGAAAGAGGAAATGAGATCTTCAATAATAAACGACAGAGCAGTAGTTTGAGAAACTGTTTTTATTCAGAGCTTTGTGTTGTGATGTCTGGTAAGCACAAATGACTTCACTGAACCACACGTTTGGAGAGCAACAGTACTGACATGCACAGCACCAAGAAAACATCACATAAAGAAATGAACTAAAGAGAGATCAGAACAGTCTGAACCTGTGAAGTTCAGGTTGATATGTAAGGAAAGAAATGCTCTGGCTGACATTTCATTGATACAGAATCAGACAAAGTAGAGTCTAAATCAGATTTCATTTAGGAACAAAAGGCATCGTTTGTGAATGTGCAGACTGCTGATGTTGCTCTTTGTTAAAGGGGTCAAACTCAGAACATTCCCTTCTTGTAGCGATGGATCAACTCTGACACGTCCTCCTTACACACCTTTATCCAGCCGTCCTCCTGCATGTGGTACACTACACAAACACAGATACACACAGTTAGAACACATATTGACATAAATGCAGCAGATCTCAAACTTTTCTGTTATATGACATTTCTTTTTGGGGGTCTTGAGCTGCATGTGTGAACGCTAACAGCTGAATTTTTCACTTCAGTTTTACCTGAAATTTTTCCTCTCAACCCCCTAGTAAAATTTTAATGTGAAGTCCCGGTGAGCAGATGTGAGAACGCAGTAGGAAATATTCAGGAAAATTCCCTGCAAGTGACCGGGAGGGGTTGGTGATATTTATCCTGCAACTGGTGCATGACCATAGACTGAACAAAACCAGTGCAATCTCTGTGCACGTAATGAAACCGCTTCACTTTGTTTTATGATTTGATCTTTTTTTTTTTTTAGATTTATTTCTTGGCTTTTTGTGCCTTTATTGGAGAGCTAGGACAGTGGATAGAGTCTGAAATCATAGAGAGAGAGAGAGAGAGAGAGAGAGAGAGAGAGAGAGAGAGAGAGAGAGAGAGAGGGGGAATGGCATGCAGGAAAGGAGCCACAGGTCAGATTTAAACCTGCAGCCTGCATGGAGGACTATGGTCTCCACACACTAACCACTGCACCACCAGCGCTCCCTGTATTGATCTTTTTATGTCATGCCTTGCCTCCAGAGACCTTGTCCTGTGTGATAACATGAATGAGCAGGATTTATCCTCTGGGAACAATGAAAGGACGTACAAAATGTCACGACTTGTAACTAAATCGTAGACCAAAAACTAATGAAATCTGATGTCTGGTGAACAGTTTGTGCCTGAAACGTCACACGGATGATGACGGCGTTTTAAATCTTGCGCTCCCGTCCAATCACTCACATGCACTCACCTGATCACTGAAAACCATTAATGATCCTAAAGAGGGTAACCTGATCTGAGTATGATTAAGAGTTCATTCATATGTTGATGAAGGAGGATCATTTTTCATACAGTAGCTACACAGTTTTCAGAACATGTTATCCTTCTTGTGGTGTTTTCTGTAAGACACTAAAAGTTTAAAGTGCAAATCCACCATCAGACCCCCTCCCCTTCCCCCTGGACTCTCAGTTCTGACCCCATGTCCTCTCCTCAGGGTCCCACAGGAAAACCAGGTCTGCCAGGAATGCCTGGAGCTGATGGCCCTCCTGTAAGTTTATCTCTTCTGTCTTTATTTTGAATTAACATAAATCTGCGTTAAGTTGAATCCATCATCGCTTCCTGAGGCTTGAACTTTTTCTCTCTTCTCAGGGTCACCCAGGAAAGGAGGGGCCTTCTGGCACCAAAGGAAACCAGGTAGGTGTCCATCATAAATAGCTGCATTACACCACGACACTTCCATTTAACAAAGTCAATTCACCAATTAAATACAACTTCAGAGAAACATGTGACTTCTATTTTATTGAAAGATATTGAATATTTATAGTTAATCTGTTGAATTGGGAACATTGAGCATGTCGTTGTAGCTGTGCCTGTAAGACGTTACCGTGTGGTGTTTATTGTGTTACAACTTGGACTTCTTTCATTGACCTTCTCCAGGGTCCAAACGGTCCTCAGGGATCTATCGGCTATCCTGGTCCTCGTGGCGTCAAGGTGAGTGAATAAATAACAGATAACAGGTATTAAAATTGTGTGCTCTATATAATCTCTATAACTTCTACTTTTGGGGAAACTTGCTTTGCATTTAAAAAAATAATTGAGCAAACACAACTCTAACAGTGTATTGATTATGAATTGTTCTGACTCCAGGGAGGTCAAGGTATCCGTGGACTGAAGGGCCACAAGGGAGAGAAGGTAAGAAGTTCATTACAGTAAAATATACACAATACAATATATCACTCACTCAGAGGTATCCTCTCATCATTTACAATCAAGTCATTTAAATATGTTGTTTGTTCACTTTCAAAAGCAGCGTGTTGAAGACGTGTTGGGTCTTTCATGACAATACTTTGACATGTTTTGTTTGGTTTTGTTTGCTTGTGTTTTTAGGGAGAAGACGGTTTCCCTGGAATAAAGGGAGATTTCGGTTCAAAGGGAGAGAGGGTAAGATCGATAGACGGACTAACTGGTTGGTTGATCAGTTCTTTAACAGCATGATTATTGGATGAATGAAAGGGTGGGAGTTCTATAATTACTCATGACCATTTCATAAAGTTATGACTCCAGATATTGAATATTCTGTGATTTATTCTGATGGATTTGTCTCCCGCTCACAGGGAGAGCTTGGAGTCTCAGGGCCCAGAGGAGAGGATGGTCCAGAGGGGCCAAAGGGTCGTGTTGGACCCCCTGGTGAGCTCGGGCCACTTGGATTGGTCGGAGAGAAGGTAAAAGCTATTTAATCACGGCAAAGTTTTTTTGATTGGCAATTTTTGGAATGTGAGATAGGTTACTGAAATGTAGCATTAATTATTAATTTTCCTTTTAAAGCTAAATTTAATTTAAAATAGATTTCATATTTTCATATTTCAACATTTCCCACAAATAAATGGAGATACTTCCAATTTCCTTAAAATGAGGTAATGCGTTGGGCAGAAAATAAGACTTTGCTGCCCTCTTGTGGTTTAATATGTGTCTGCTGTTTAGTGAAACATATTTATGAATACCATGTACAGTTTTTTAATCATATTACAAATACATTTGGATGAAACATTTCCGTTTATTTTTATTTTGTTATTCCTTTTTATACTTTAGAAGTTGCTGCACATAAATATGCATTTCTCCAAACATTTTTGAAACCTGTTTTGTTAAATTGAAATGACTTCATCACACCTGATGATCAACTTTATCTCATCAGATTCATAATAATATATTGTTTCATGTGATTATACTACATTTCTTGTAAAATCAGTTTGTGTGAAAGTTTTGAATTGTTTATTCAGAATTACAGATGTTGTGACCATCGAGATGAAGATGATTATTTAATGATGTCATCATGTGATTGCAGGGTAAACTTGGTGTGCCTGGACTTCCTGGATATCCTGGAAGACTAGGACCAAAGGTAAGAGAAACAAACACTGCATCTTTCATCCCTAGCCACTCATGAAACATGACTTTTGATTTCACATTAATATTGATGGGGACAGACAGTGCTGATGTTAATGTTGATTTGTTTTTTTAGGGATCTCTTGGATTCCCAGGATTCCCTGGGTCAAATGGCGAGAAGGGAACAAGGGTAATGTGATGACTCTTTGAGAGATTTTGTTCAAACTATGATTGTAAAAGTGACAAAGGGACGTTAATAATATCGATGTTGACATTATGAAAGCTGATTTATGATCTCTACACACATTAGATAGACTGGTGGTCTATGTAGAGTCCTGTAGAGGAAAGTAGAATCCTGAAGTCAGTGTTAGACAGTGATGTGAAGATCATTTCTGTTTGACTCAACTGTTCGTTTGTTTGTTTGTTTGTTTGTTTGTTTGTTTGTTTTTTCAGGGTCTTAGCGGCAAAGCAGGGCCCAGAGGACAAAGAGGACCCACGGTACTATTTCACTTTTATGCACTTATTCTAACAGTTAATCACTTTGTAAATTCTTATTATGATAAAGGGACTTAACACAGGGCTGAAAAGCAGAGTTTCACTTCCCTCTCTGAAGTTTAAGAAAGGATACAGAAGTACGAGAAGAGAAGCTTATTTCACCTCTGACTACACCCGTCACAGCATCACAGCTGTCTGTAGATAGTCTCTGTCAGAAATGTTCTCTGCTGCACCTGTAACAACACCCAGTAGTGAAGTCACAGGGTCTCGTAGAATACCGGTACATCACTGCAGCAAATAACTATTTCAGCACCAATTTCATTCTGGGAGACAAGTGGATAAAGAGGAGAATATCTATTGAACTAATTACTTAATGATATAATATGATCTGGCTTGACAAAGATTTTTGGCGCTTGGACTCTATGGGGGGGATTTGACTGGATTGAGCGGCAGCAGGATAAATCCCCCCGTGGAGTCTGGACAGATCAGATGGTTGATTAATTGATGGATTCTGTGAATGAAGGAACAGAGAGGGGAATCATATTTAAATAGAGAGTGGAAAGATTATAACCACCATGCTATTGGATAGATGAGACCAGCTGATGAGACAGCTGATTTCCCAATAACGACCCCAGACAATGAGAGCAGGGTGCAGAGTAAGGGAACAAAATAAAGTCTCTCTGACTGAATGTACACTAGAGATTTATTTAATCAATTCAAAATTGATTGAACATCAATTTAATCGTAGATAGCATGACATTTACAACATGTTAGTCATTCATTATACTTTCTGTTTGTTCTCATCAGGGCCCCAGAGGGCAGAGAGGACCGAGGGGCTCCACTGGGAAATCAGGAGCAAAGGTTTGTCTTCACAGTAACTTTGTCTAGATTGACCTGAAACATTCTGTCAAACTGTTTTGATGAATATTAATATTGTTGAAAATCAGTCTCGTTCATTTAAATTATTTCACAATGTGAGGATATCCCTCAACAGTTCAAATATGATTTAAAAGTCTTTTTTTACTGTATTGTTGTTCTTAGGGAACATCAGGAAGTGACGGCCCTTCTGGTCCACTTGGAGAGAGGGTGAGTGCTTCATTTTCATTTTGGAAACCGTGTTCTGCTGCGTAGCACTTTATCAGAGCAAACATTTTAACCTCTGCCTCATTTTGCCAAACTGACCGGTGCTATTTGGTTTCCTTTTTATGATCTTAATATTTGATATGTTGTTGCCTCACCAGGGATTGCCCGGGCCTCAGGGAGCCAACGGTTTCCCAGGACCAAAAGGACCTCCTGTAAGAACACATTTCATCGACTTTTATAAAGACGTGGTATCACACAAGATATCTGTAGTTCTTCCAACGTGGTCTTTGGTTTGATGTCCCCTCTTTCCTGCTGTCTTCTCTTGAGACAAAGAGTTATTTAATATTTGATGGCTGACGGATGTTTCCTTGCAGGGACCCCCAGGAAAGGACGGGCTGCCTGGACACCCTGGGCAGAGAGGAGAAGTTGTAAGTTTGTTTTTTCCCACTTCCACATTTGGTTCAGTATCTCAACTACATGAACTAAATATTAAAGTGTGGTAACACCAACAAGAAGCAAAACAGTAGATAATGATGGAGCCGGGCCAGGCTGGAGGCGGAGCCAAAAGCAAACTTAGTGTTCATCTCTGCATGCTCCAGGAGGGCTGTAGAAAAGATGCCCAGGTTTATTTATACATGCAGCCCCTAAGATATCATGTCAGTGATCAGTTTGTTCTCAATGCAAACCACACACACCTTAAAGGGGCATTTCCACTTGATGTCTGCAACGTTGAAGAAAGCCCTGTGCTGAAACACGGCTGCTGCTGCTCTAACCAGATAAACTTACTTTGAAGGACTTTTAGTGTGCTGACTTTTTCGTCTCTTAAACCGACACATAAAGATGGAAAACAGATACATGACTTCTGTAGTTTATGTTTCTACTGATTTCCATGTTGACAATGTGGTGGGATGGATTAATATACCATATAAACTGTCTTTAAAATCCAGGCATATTAAAAGCCACACATTTATAATAGAATTTACTGACATGAATAGAAAAAGCCACTAATCCCAGGATTCACTCACAGATTATAAATAGGTTGAATATTATCTGTACTATAGTGTTTGAATCAGTATTTCTTCATTGTTTCGTTCTAGATGGTAACTTGAAGAATCGCTGTGACCTTTAAATATTTGTTCACATGTTGCAGGGGGTTAAAGGTTCAATGACTTGTAAATGTTTATTGAAATGAATTTCTCTCCTCCAGGGTTTCCAAGGTAAAATGGGTCCACCTGGGCCTCCTGGAGTTGTTGGACCTCAGGTAAGTTTTCCATCATGGTGCAGAATTTTCCAGAATTTTTAGGATAACATCAATTTTCATAATAATGTCATTTGACTTTTGTTCTTTAATATCGGACCTCCACCCTTTCTTATCTTCTGTGACCTGTATTTCCACTTTGCTCTCCCACATCCAGGGTCCATCAGGAGAGACCGGCCCCTTGGGTGAGCGTGGCCACCCTGGACCCCCAGGTCCACCTGGAGAGCAGGGACTTTCTGGTCCCTCAGGAAAGGAAGGTACCAAAGGAGACCCTGGACCCCCCGGAGGGCCTGGGAAAGATGGGCCACCGGGACTGAGAGGCTTCCCTGGAGAGAGAGGACTTCCTGGAACCCCTGTGAGCATGACCAATAGAAACATTGAGGGCAGATTTTCCAGTTATACAAACTGTTATGTCTTTGTTGGATCACCTGTATAAAAGTGAATTGGTTAAAATCGTCTCACAGAAATGGAGATTGATCAAACACTTTGTGTCCCTTCTTCTAGGGAGGTGGAGGACTGAAGGGAAGTGAAGGACCTGCTGGACCCCCTGGACCTGCTGTAAGTTTAAACTCAAACTTTTACCATTTATAGGAGAAAACATTACTGTGCTATCTGACTAGCTAACTAGTTTAAGTTTGTCGTAAAGGGATACAGGAACAGAAGTTACTTTACGTCAATCAGTCCATGATCTGTGTTCCTTTTGTTCTGTAGTTCATGACTTTGATACTAAACTTAATGTAATATCTAATAATGGGATGTGTTAATAAAATAGTTTTAGTTTGTTCATAACGGTACATCCCAACACCTGCTGCAGTCAGTACTGTCTTCATGATATTGTGTTTTTCCAGGGATCTCCTGGTGAGAGGGGTCTAGCTGGTACTGCTGGACCTGTTGGACCTCCTGGCAGACCAGGCCCTCAGGGGCCTCCTGGACCTTCTGGAGAGAAGGGAGTTCCTGTGAGTATTCTGGAAATGTTCATCCATTGAGCAGTTTGACATTTTGTATGTGTTTTCAATCCAGCCAAAGGAAAGTGATTGACTGTTGATCTTCCTCTTTGTTCTTCTTCTCTTATTAAGGGTGAAAAAGGCCCTATTGGCCCAGCAGGTCGTGATGGAGTGCAGGGTCCTGTGGGTCTGCCTGGCCCTGCTGGATCACCTGGAGTACCAGGAGAGGACGGAGACAAGGCCAGTAACTCTAAAAAAACACCTGTCACCTTCTTAATCCATACCTGCCAACACTCCCGAGTGTGTCCTGTAGTTCAAGGCCATCTCCCGGCCTCCTCCTGTTCTGTTATATCTCACGGGAAAATCCCGGCCCTACAATCTTAGTCTGAATAATCCATATTTCGCTTACATTCATTTTTTATATGTGTCCTAAGATACCAAAGTTGCAAGATCATCTATTAGTCATGATAAACACAAACAATCCACATCTACATAAAAAATGTCGACCGCAGAGCTGGACTGAATCATTTCGTTTTATTATCGTGAGTCGTCTGGATAAGTGTGCAAAGCAGCTTTTAATAAAGAGCAACAGAGGAGGTTACCCTTCTTTCACCAACCTTCATAACTTTAGGACACACAGAGGCAAGGAACGTCTTAACGTCCCATCTTAAAGGAAGAATGTCACATTTTCATTATGTGACGACTTTATTGACTTGATTAACGCACACCTCCGATCACCCCCACCCTCTTGTATTTTTAACCTTAATGTAGGCAGCTATGTCTTCATCGTTTTTGTGTCTTGTTTAGATAAATTGGCTGATTGAGGTGTGAGTTCTCCATGCTTTAATCAGACATGATGAGTCTTTATTTTGAAACTTGTATTTTCTGTAACGGGATATTTCTGTGTCTACAGGGTGAAGTTGGAGAGCATGGTCAGAAGGGCGCCAAGGGAGGTAAAGGAGAACATGTAAGTGACTAACGTCAAGCCCAAAATGTATTTCTGATCGACAACATTCCTGAACAATGTAGTTTCTTGTTTATTCTTTCCTCTGTTTTGATGTTATGCTTACTGCCTGTGGGCTTGTTGTGTGTTTGTTGGTAGGGTCCTCCTGGTCCACCCGGGCCAATGGGTCCTGTTGGTCAGCCTGGACCTGCTGTAAGTACCACCCTGAACTCTTTAAAGACAAAATCGGGTTTGTTGAACTTGTAACTGATGTTTAACTTTCATGTTGATGCATGTAGTGTTATTTGAGTTTGGGGGGGATATGGTGGATGTCACTGTGACACTCTCAGATCTTTAATCTGTTCTGAACAAACGGGTAAACAATTCATACATATTCATACATCAGAACAACTAAGTTAAAACATGAAATGTTTAATGAATATAATGATAAGATTGATGTTTTTTTTCCCGGTGAACTTATTGATTTATCTAAATGTTTGTGTCTTTCATTTTCTTCTTCTATGGTGCAGGGTGCTGATGGAGAGCTTGGAGCCAGGGGCCAGCAGGGACCTTTTGGATCCAAAGGTGACGAAGGTACCAGAGGATTCCCAGGAGCCCCAGGACCCATCGGACTGCAGGTCAAATACAAACAACAATATACACTACAGCTACAGAATCACTGAAATCCTTAATCACTTCTTACTTTAGACTTTCATGTAATCGCCCCGTGAACAGAGGCTATCGTCCTCCAAGCAGACGGCCTGGTTTCCACTCTGACCTCGCTCTAATCCCTGTTTCTGACTTTATTCTCTGTCCTATCAGTAAAGACATAAAGCCCAAAAAATAAACTCAAAGAAAACATATACTGTATATCAGGCTTGAATTTTGAGTTGTAATCTTTAGCTAAGTTGTTAATCTAAACAAATTCTTTGTGTAACTTTTACTCCTTTTCTGCAGGGATTGCCAGGAACTTCAGGTGAGAAGGGAGAGACTGGAGATGTTGGACCCCTGGTGAGTTTCATTACTCTATGACTTCAGTGCTTTTTTTAAATTCAGTTACTTGTTTTGTCACCATGAAATCATAAATCTTGATTAAAACCTGAGCCTCTTTACTTTTCCAGGGTCCACCTGGACCTCCAGGCCCCCGTGGCCCTGCTGGACCCAACGGTGCTGACGTGAGTGTTTACAGACTTTATCTTTTTAAATGAAAACGTTTTCTGCGTTGGTAACATTACAGAGAGCTGATGTAGAGCCGAGTTATCTTATAAAAACTGTACAAAACCCCCCCACACTTAATGTTTTGTTTGTTAGGCAGATAATGTGAAAGGTTTGTATCAGATGACCTCAGATAGTTTCAATTGAATTCAAACTTCATTACAGACTCAAGGTCCTCTTATAAAATATTGTTAATGTAATTGAACAAGTAACTGTTACATAATCTGGTCAAACAAATGTAAACTATCTCTAATCTATTAATCAATAATATTTATTTGGATGTGAATTCATCAATCTTTTTTTCTGATTTTTTTGCATATTGTTCAGGGTCCTCAAGGTCCTCCTGGTGGTTTGGGTAACCCTGGCCCTCTTGGAGAGAAGGTGAGGGGTGTTTCGCTGGCATGAAAGCAATATTTCTGAGTTTTAAACTTTCCTTAAAAAAAGGTTTAATTTGGATCTAAATGAAAACGATTCTTTCCACAGGGAGAGCCCGGTGAGGGAGGACCACCTGGAATTGGAGGAGAGCCAGGAAAGAAGGTGAGTGTCGGACTCTTACAGCTCAGGGTAGGAGATAAGGAGGCTGTGGCTCCGCTGACAGGATGATCTTTCCTACTGCGATTCACATTAGCTCACCATGACTTCACTGAAAATGTACGAGGGTGCTGGTGCTGACCATCCGGTCTCATCATGTCCTCAGCTTCAGCACCACCAGGGTCTGGACTCCATCAGGGGATTTATTCTGTCAACACTCAGAATTGTTATTCTTCAAACATCAATCACCCCCATAGAGTCCAAGCTCCAAAGTATTTCTGTCAAGTCACATTTCCATCTTATCCATTATAATAAATCATTTCTTTCTTAATTCACTCGTCTCTCCTGATTTAAATTCGACTACCTATCCAAAAATATCACTCCAGAGGCAGAGCACAACATCGACAGCTGTTCTTCAGAGATCTAATCAGCATCAAAACTATCCTAAATATCTTCATCATCATTATCAAACAAAACCATCATCATCAATAATATCATTAAGGTGGTAGGTGGTCATAAAGAGCTGGGTCTTTAGCTTTTTCTTAAAGGTGCAGAGGGACTCTGCAGATCAAATGGAGTTTAGTTCCTTTCACCAGTAGGGGGCGACAGAGGAGAAGAGTCTAGTTAATGAACTAAAGCACAGAAACAGGAAGTGGTTGTGGATCATAAACTGATGTCAAAAGGCTCAAAGGAACGGTAACAAAGGTCAATGTGTGTTGTTGAAAAGGTTTTTTTTATTTTTTTTATGTCAGTGACCGGAAGTACTTTTACTCTGTGGGGCTCCGCCCTTTACATTTACAGTCTAGGGGGCTCTGGGTTCACAAGTTTAGGGATTCATAATATTTACAGTCTATGATTCATACCAATCAGTCAGTCATCAGTGATCTGTCGATAAGCACAAGAGAGCACAGATGATGAGGAGTCCATTCTTTTGTTTTAACTGGTTTAACTGGTTTATTCAGCAGCAGATTCTCCAAATCTGCTGCTGAATTAACACAGAGAATAACTCAAACTATTTATATTTTTATATATTTATATATAATATAATATATTTATTTTTAAGAAAAGTAAAGAAAACTTTAAACGATATGATAAATTATATGATATTAAAGGTTAAATGAAAACAAATGGAGGTTATGTAATATATAAAAGGTCAAATAAAATAAATAGATGTAAAATAATATATAAAACCAAGTTTAACAATAAGAAAAACGGTGTTTTGTCTTGACTCGACTTCAGTGCAGTAACGTCCTGTGGCCACATGAGGGCGGTGTTGTTTTAACGGCTCACTCAGCAACATTCAATCAACTGTAAAACTCATACAGAACAGCAAACGAGTGCTTCCGGTCAACGGTTTGTAAAAAGAGCTTTCTTCTAACTAACATGAATGTATAACGTTGATCTTTTTAACAACTTTAACAGAACAAATAAACTAACAAGATACACAATGAAACTTTACAAACTTTCGCTCTCCCAGTCACAACAAAAACAGAAATAAAACGATGTGTTCTGTTTGATTGTGTTGTTGTAGTTTTCTATGTGTCCACTAGAGGGAGCGCAGTGTCTCTAACAGTCTACGGTCAGTCCTCATGGACTTATGACTTGAGCTGAAGGTACTATAATCTTAATAGTTTAAATTAACTGAAAATGATCAATCAGACCATAAAGTATATTTAATAATATAACAATATGTATTTGGTGTGAGCTGATATTCTAGTTATTTCATGTCATTACATAGTCAAAATATGTCCTTATGTCTTTTCAATTGGCACACACATTGTCTCTCTTCTTGTTTAATGTCATTATGTGGCTACAATAAAACAAAAGTCACTCAAATTATTCGTCAGTTAACTTGAACTGAACATTTAGCTGTAACGTGTCTTTCACTTAAAACCCAGAGACTAAACTCTGCTGTATTTTCCTGCACAACATGAGAGAACTGTGTGTCAACCACTCAACTGAGCCAAGTAGCCTACTGATTCTGTTGCTTAGTAACTTCTGACTTTGCCTCGTCTGATATTTCACTGTGTTAATCCTAAAAAAGGATTTCATTGCAAGAAAGCAAGTTAAAATCTTACTGCAGGAATGTGAGACAAAGTGAACTGACAATGTGACACATATTTGCAGTGTATATAACGCACACTGCACTCCTTGTGCCTGGACTTGTTAAAGTACAATCTATAAATAACAAAACAAAAACATCCTGTCAGTCAGTGAAGAGATGAACATGTCTCAGTTTATTTATGTACAGAAATTCAGATGAAAAGAAGGAGTCAAGTACAGAGGCATTTATATTTCTGAGAACTTCAGAAAAATAAGACTGACAACTCTAAGTATGTTTGTTTAAAAAAACAGAAACTGACAGAAACATTTTTGCAGAACAGAAAAAGCTGCTCTAAAAGTTAAAGAAAAACAAAATCCTGCTCCAAGATTGAGCCTGTAAAATATGTTCCTGACAGTTAGTCTGTGTGCATCTCATAAAGCAGAATTCCATTTAAAAGCTATTGATTACTAAGCTATTTCTTTTTATGAATAAAGTCTCCAGTCAACTTTGTTTCTAAATAAATAATCAGTTTTAGCATACAATACTCCAATCTCAAGTCAAAGGCCATTTAAAAAGAAAAAACGGTTCACACCTAAATCACAAAATTGTTTAGTAGTTCCACCAAACAAACAGTGCATTGTTATTACAACATTTAACCATCTTTGTTAGCCTGCCGGTAAAAGTGACTTCTGGATCTTGAAATTCAAAACAGCCTTCAAGTTAACGCCAGCCACACCGCCTTTCTAAAAAGATTACAACAAAAACGGTTGTTTACCTGCCGAAAATCCCACAAATAAGAAAACTTAATATTTAACAAAACTGTTAACACAGGAGTTAAACCGCTCAGCTGCCGTAGATGTCTTAAGGCCAAATTGTTAAAACACGAAGCAGTTTTGCTTTTATGACGTCGAGGTGGTAAAGCGTCACCTGAAAAGCTTCTTCTTCATGAATTTAGAGTAAATGTAAGAAACATTATTGACCCTGCTGTTTCAGAAACTCTGGCAAGTCAGATGTTTAGTGACTTTAGAGAAAAGGACCTGAACACCAAAAGAAATCAAAGGTACAAAGATGTCATTTGGGCACAGGTGAGCAGACGAAACAAGTCCTCACAATTTATTAGCAGATTGGTCACAAGAAGAGAAAATGAACACGATTACAGAGAAATGGATGAAAAAAAAGACAGCACACATGGGGACAGAATATAAACTATTGTGTAACTATGTTACATTTCTGTACAAGTGGCCAACCCTTTAAAACAAGTACATGAGTACACAAGTATGCAGTAAAGAAGTACATGAGTATGCAGATGCTTGTCAGCTCTCCTGTATTGCATGCATTCTGTATTCTATGAACCAAGGTGCTTCTGCGTGCAGACTGATTTTCAACGCCTGCGTTAAATCTATGAGGAACTTATGAGGCTGAACTTGTGGCGCCCGATCTTGCACTCACACATGTGCATGCATACTGGACACACTCATACAGTTCTACACCCACACACACACATGCACCGACACACACGCCCAACATACACACACTCAAACATACGCGTTTCCCCTCGACCTTCTATTACTCAAGAAAAAAAACTGAACAAAAACTAAAACACGACTTCGCCCACACCAGTCTTTCCCACAATGAGGGAATAAATTAGCTCCATAAAATGCTTCTTTATAAAAGAAATATAGATATTTATATAACTGTACACCTTAACTATACAGCGTAAAGACAAGGAGCACGGAAAGAAGGGAAATTATCTCCAGAAATAAGACAGATTCTGGCAGTAGCACCCTTATCCCTCCAGACACATGCGTCACTCTTTTTTTTGTTGCAGGAGATGGAGCATCCCCGGCTCTGGCCAACGAAGGCATTTCTCTCAAAAATGGAGGATCTCATAGTGAGTATCCTCATTTCCATCCATCCATCATCGGCTTTTCTTTGTCCAGGACAGGACTGGATGAATGAGACGAGCGCAGGGAAAGCCCCATCTCTCTCTATTCTTGGTTTAACACTTGTTAAGTCAGACCAGTTCTGCCCAGTGCTGCTCTCGTCTGATCCGTCCTGCGGCTCAATCGTTGCTAGCTCTGCTGCAGTGTAGTCCAATCAAAGCAAAACGCTGTGGGTCTCTTGTATGACCCTTTCACGGAGAAAACCCTCTGCCTCTCAGCCTGAGTCTGAGTCACTTGTGTCTGAAGATGAGAGGAGGAGGAGGATGAAGAAGGAGTCTGAGGAGGAGCTACTGGCGCTGAGACGTGATGGCTGAGTGTTCTGCTCTGCTGCAGGTTTCTCTGCTGGAGTAAAAACAAAAACAGTCAAGATCGTGATGATCATGTTCAGCATCAACTTGAGTACAAAGGAGAAGTCAAACATACATTTAAGTCCAAGTGACCGTAGAAAAAATGACCCCACAACAAGATGCTGCTTATCCTTCATTAAACACTTGAAAATGGATTTTATTGGATGAACTTTGGATGTCTGTGCACTTCCATGTCTTCAGATATTTTGTTCTTTTGAACTATTATTGGATAAATTGTGTAAATGTACACAGCCAACAGGCATGTGACGTAAACATAATTCTTCTAAATTCTTTCTGACCGCTGGACACACGTCATGCAGTTTCACCCAAACACTGTATCATACATCCTGAAGGGAGGACTTACGTTTGGTCTTAGCAGGCTTCTTTCCAGAATTCAGCTGACCGCTGACATCAATCAGCCTTCTCTCCAGCTCAAGTTGTTTCTCCAGAGCGAGCTCTTCTCGGGACTTGCCGGCAATGTTGTTTTTACTTGCTGCATACAAACAGAGAGGTCAAGATATGAATGATTTATAGCTGGTAGATTACACTGAATATTTCTGCTGCCTTGGTAAATGTACAGGGAAGTAAAAGCATATTTATACGTTTACAATGTTTACTATTAATCACCTCAGCACCTTTTGTTAGATGTAAACCATAACCTATAACTATTCTCCAATAAAAGTCTGTCTGATATCACCATCAGTAGTCAGAGAACTGACCACTATGCATGCACAGTGTTTGAGTCCCCTGCATGTAAAGATGATCAGGCTACAGGAGACGCCAGATACACCAACATGACGCTTGAAGACGCATTATATAAGATTTACATGAAGTGTATCAGCAGCACCTCGTCTCGGTGCTCATTAATTGCTGTGGCTACATGTCAGTTTTCTTCAAACATCCTTCAGTCCTAGTGTATGTAACGTCAATCTATTAGTTCATGTTACTAACCGTAAGGCTTCCGAGGTTTCTTCCTCAGACACGTCATGACGTATCTCTCCAGCTCCCGCAGCGTGGACGGCTTCAGTGTCTCAAAGTCGATCTCGATCTCCTCTGGGTTGGTGTCTCGCAGCGAAGGCTCGCGAGACTGGATGATGTAAACAACACGGCCCAGCTTCTCACCGGGCAACTTGTTGATGTCCAGGCTGAGTTGGCGCTTCTCGTCATACGACATGGGTGCGGTCTCCTCCTCTTCATCGGAGTCATAATGACTAACAATGGGATCAATGGGCGGCTGAGGCATGCTGAACGTCATGGCAGTCTTTTTGGATCTGAAAGTAACAGAAGGAAAGTGTTAAAGAATGACTGAGGGATGGTCTTAACGCACAAAGAGACAATATCATGAAAGATGTTCAGTTTACAACTTGCTTGATTTCAGTCTCTGTGCTGGAGAGAGAGGCCCTCTGAAAGCAAGTACAACATGCATCTCACACTTCTAATTCCTACATTGTCCAATAGGTGTCAGTACTCACTTGCTCTTGTTGTTTTTCTTGCTTGGCGCTTTCTTAATCGGGATTACAGGACAGGCCGGTGCTCTGTTGGTCTTTGTTTTAGGCGTTTTGGTAACCTTAGGGGCCTTTGCAGGTTTAACAGGTGGCAGCTCTTCCTCTATCCTTCGATGCTTCTCTTTTTCTACTTTTTTCTTCTTTTTCTTGTCTTTCTTCTCTTTCTTCTTCTTGGGTTTGACAATGGGGCCCTGGGAGAGAGCAGTGAGCTGCTCATGCACGGCTTTAAGCTGGAGAAAGAAGAAAGAAGAGTCAGGAAAAAGAGACAAAGCATCGTTAACACAAATGCCTGTGATATTTGTATTTCAACACTTGCTCTGATGTGTATGGACATTCATGATATACAAACCTGTTCCTGCAGCTCTGCAAGTCGGTTTGCCCTCTCCTCCTCAGAGTCAGAGCTCGGGCTGCTCTCACTATCCTCGCTTTCACTGCTGAGCTCACTCTCTGATGATGACGAAGAGGAGGAGGAGGAAGATGAGGAGCTAGGGGGTACTGGAGGTTCATCTGGCATCTTAGCAAAGCAGAACTCAAAGACATCCTACAGGGATCAAAGAAGTTAGTTTAAAAAACAAGTCCAGTGGTATGACAATGTAGAAAATAGGTAATATTTTGATTATATGATTATGTCTGTGCAAAAACAAAACAAAAACTATTTCAGGGAGTATATTACCTGCAGTTTTCTGGCCATGGACACCACATCATGATCAGGAGGGTTGTACTTGTAACAGTTGGAAAACATCAGTCTAACATCAGCAGAGAACTGCTGAGAGTCACGATACTCTCTGCCATCCATCTTCCTCTAAAAAGAGAGAGAGAGAGAGAGAGAGAAAAGGGGGTTTAATGAAACCATTGGGTGAAGAAATATAAAGCAAACGTGTATTCCTATTGTCTGGGGCCTCTTGAGGACGAGTTCAATTTAAAATAGCACAAGACATCAGCCACACCTTGCACTGGGATTTGATCTCCATCAGAGAAATAAAAACAATGAAGAGATGTTGTGTTTAGCTTTCATACACGGTACATGTAGTTCACTGGCTCTTGTGTTATGACAAATGATGACACCTGTGTGTGACATGTACCTTGATGGTGCTCAGATCCATTGGCTGCTTTATGATGTCATGGTAGTCATGAAGACCAAGTGTGGAGGCATCAACAGGCTTGTAAAACGGCCAGGCATACGCTGCATGCTTTTTTGACAGCAACTCCTTTAGGACCCCATTGCAGTACCGCAGCTGGGGGCTCAGCTTGCTGCGGCGCACCGGTTGTGGAACCAAGGAATCTGGTAAATCCTTCTTAGGAGGCTTAATAGGTCGTCCACTAACTACTCTCCTGGCCGCTGCTGTTGCTTTGGTTCCCATCATGACTGTTCCACAGCCCATCCCCATGCCCATCCCCATGCCCATCCCCATTCCCTGGCTGAGACTGAGGGCTTGGTTCATTCCCAGGCTAGAGTTGTGGTCCACCCCAAGAGAAGTAAGGGTGAGCGGGGAGTCGTGCCCACCTCCCATTCCCAGGCTGATGCCGCTGACTCCCATGGTGCTCATGATGGGCATGGCCATGGTGGTTGGAGTTGTTGTGTCTGCTTTTCTCTTCACGCCTTTTTTCTGATGTTGAAGAAAGACAAGCAAGAGGGGCCAAGTCAGAGAACCTTCTTTGTTGAAATCATTTTAAAACAAAGCTGTCAAATGATCACTGGGTGAATAATATAATGTCATTATGTCATTACCTTAGTGGTGGGCTGCGTGGGAGGATGACTTGTTATGGTAGGGATGCTCTGTTCAGTTGAGAGGGAAAGGGACAGGCTCTTGGTCAAAAGTGTCTGTGGGGGGGTGGAGAGGATTGAGTCTGGGGTTTCTGGGGTTGGAGGTGAGTAGGCCGACTGTGACACAGCTGGGACCTGATGAGCTGTTGTGACTCCTCCAGAGACTGAAAGATAGAGGTGAGGACAGGGTCACTTTAGAAAAGTAAATGTGTGGTCATTTATGCATTTACTGAAATGATTATGGAAATCTACAGTAGGTGGGATGACTACAGATGTTATTTGCAGCCAGTGCTTACCTGCATTACCTCTTCCTTTCCTCCCAGGTTTGCTGGGTTTACTCCGTGCAGGGGGAGGTAGCAGCTCTTCCTCCTCCTGAGGCATCTGAGCCACTTTCTGCAGGAATGCCTTCTCCAATGACTGTGCCATGAGTACAATGTCATCTGTGGGCTGCAGAGAAAGGGTTGACATTTTTTTTAGAACAGCTGGAAGGTAAAGCTTTGAAAATGTTAAAATGAAGGTTGAAAACACGTCTTTATGGATTAAAATATTACATTAAACATCTGGGAAGCTACAAAGTCAAACGATAATATCCAGTGTGATGGCTTCCCTTTAATAGTCCTATCACTGAGCTTTGATGCACAGGGGATTCGGGTTGTGCTAAATTTCTTGCAGCCCGTTTTGTGAAAAAATCGTTGGCTAGAATAGCAGTAGAATCCTGGCAAGAAGATGCTGCTTCATGCCAGGATGCCTCAGGCAAAGATTTTCTCAGTAAAATCGACCCACAATAACTTACCTTGTTATAAATGTAGCAATTTGTGAACATGGTGTTAAAGTCCTGCATGCACTCGCTAGCACTGCGGTAGTAATTATTTTCCAGCCTCTTCTTAATAGTGCCCATGTCCATTGGAATTTTGATGATCTTATGATAGTCCTGGGGGGAGAAAGAGACACTTTATAGACAAGAGAAATACTTCATATGGCGGAGTGGTGGACGGGGGGTTAGGGGTTCATTCGGACAGGAGGTAAAGTCACATTTCTTAAAGGCACACTTACAGGCAGACTGAGCTTGACGGCATCCACAGGTTCATGGAAGGGCCAGGCAAAGTGGTGCCTCCACAAAGACTTGAGCAGAACTTTCTGCAAGAACTGAAGTTGGTTGGTCATCCTTCCCTGGCGACTTGGGTCCTTCACCGGGGGCTGAGGGGGTCCAAAATGGGCCATCTGATTGAGGGGGGGCATCCCAGGACTCTCAAAGCCCTCATAAAGCAGTGATGGCTTTCTGATGCGTTTTCCAGCTGTTCCAGAACTTTGTTCCATCGTTGTGACCCCCATTATGCCAAGCTCAACATGGGAGCTGTTGAGAATAGTCAAAACCAATTCACTGTTAGGATTCAGATTTATATCAGCAGCCGACATAACAAATAAAATCATTATTGTCCATTATTTAACAAGATGCTACAAAATCCACAAACCTATAAATGATGGAGTATGATTGTTGTTCATAAATAACACGAACAACTAGAACTGTCTACACTTCATTTGCATCAACTCAGATGGAGGTCTTTCAGACTTATTTTACTTGTGGCCTCTTTTGGATTACGCATCAAATATTCATCTTATTTATCAATATTGTGATTGATCATACAATTCAATTTAAACAATACCTGATTAATGTTGTCCACACAGTATAGGCAGAATCATTTGTGTTACACGTTTGTCCCAAAACTGTTATTTATATGAAAACAGTATTTATTGATTACAGTACGTTATCACTTCGGTCAAATCAATCTTGCAAACCCTCACACTCTCTTGCGAGCACAAAGTAAATCCCCTTCACAAGGCATGCAGTCAGTCATGCAAGCCACCTTCAGATTACCAAAACTGTGCTCCCAGTCGTGAAAGGCATCATCAAAGATTTCTGTTCTCTATTTCACCAACATCACAAAGTAATAAAGAGTATTCTCTCACAGAAGTGTTTGTTCTGTTTTAACTGTAATGATGAGGCTATTCCAGTCTCTGTATATATAGTCAAACTTTATCTTTAAGTTTAATCAGAAACCTGATTACGAGCTACTCATTCATAGCACGGATGCTGCTGTGATGCCTTGAACTGCTCAAGTGTCCCTGAGACTCTGCGACTCTTACGGTACATGGATAGACGTGAAATGTGGCTAAAATAGCTCTGCCCAAGGAGTGTCCCGCTGCAATGGTCTATCAGTAGCCTTTCATTTAGAACAGCACAAGAACGTGAGCATGTAGAATACTGTCCCGCCTTTTTCAGTCCACAGTATCTAGCAGATTTGTTGTAATACAATGAAAATGCAAAATTTAGTTAATTTTGAGGGAGGCTTGTGCTCAACCAGTATATCCTGGTGTTATACACGTATTTGAAAACCGCTTTAAATGTTATGCAGCATTTCATGTGTATCTTTATCGTAATAGTTATTTCATATTTTAATGCTAGAATGAACATAAATGAAGGCGGAGGACATGCATGTCCTTTATCTACATAAAGGACAAAATTGAGGGATTTATAGTGTAGGAGTCCAATGACCATGACATGGCCAATCTGCACCAAACCAAAATTCCAATAACGCTGTTGGTCATGTCATCTGCTGATGAAATAGTGAGTTTATGCAATAATTATGCATAAAATGTATTATACCATATCAACCAAACCAAGAACATTAAATTGGGTTGGATGCTCATATCTATATTTATTTAAGTGATGTCAATGCATTAGATGCAGACCTGTTTATCTAATTAAAGGATATTTCCATAACATACAGGATTTGAGATTTACCTTCTTGTTTAATCCTTCATGAGACGCAATCCTTTTTGAATGATACAAGTTTTGGAAACACATTTGACAGTTAGTGTACTTTATTATATGAAAGGAAAGTAACCATGTACATAATATTAACAACAGACATGTTTGTTAGCTATAAAATAATTTATGAACAAAAAAGGTAATATAGGGGCGATAGATTATATAAACATGAAAACATGATTAAACTAAAAAGCTGCTTAAAAACCGGTAAGCTTACAAACGGCTAAATTAAAAACAAAGCCTTGTGATCATTTGACCACATTGCGTTGCTACGTTGAGTGACACTGAAGGACGTAACCAGGCAACCAAATGAAACACCCAACACATGGATCCCCTGCGTTACTCTTTCAGCGAGAACAGCAGAGACCATAACAACACCTGACCACGACAACACTGTAAACACCTCCATAAAGTTAATCTACATCTTCAGTCACTCTGCTTATAACCGTCACCGGGACAAAGTAACGTTTCACTTCAACAACAACAACAACAAAGCCAAAACATGGGGCAGAACCGCCGCTTTGAGTCAGACACGGTGCAGGGGGAATGAGTGGCGATAAGGCAGCTGTGAGACACAGGAGGTCTTAAGTCTACGAGGCTAATGCTAACAGTGCTAGCATCAACTGCCAGGCTGGGGGAAGAGGCGCTCCGAAGATGGCGCCGAACGAACAACAGTCGCAATCTGTTACAATTTAGTGTATTTCCACAATATGTATTACGATTGTACCGCTTGAGCAACGCCATAAACCTCCTCATACGGTATTTTCAATGTCCATTTAACTCCTCTTCTGGTATTTATAGCAAACACGGGCTGCCAGCAACGATATTTTAGTATAATATGAATAACGCTTACAATATCTCCTCGGATGGGTAGCTGAGAGTCAATTATACCGGTAGATACCTGTCAAGGAGCGGGTTAACAGCCATATCCATCAGGATGGATCCGGATTCTGTTTATAGCTAGGCTCAGACCTGGATCCGACTCTGTTCGAGGGTTTCCCGGCTCCCCGCCACAGTCAAATCCTTTGATGTACTCGTTGAAATGGCGACTCCGCGATCGCACCCGTTCTTATAAAGACCGAACGTTTACCCCATTGGACAGGACTCCTCGAACTGTCCACGCCCTCTGGATTTCTATTCGCTGCTTATGTTGTCAGTCAAAATCGCCACGCCCCTCGCTGCTGAGGCTTAGCTGACAGACTTCTGGATCAACCGGTTCGCACGGTTCTGCTCTCGGGGAAGGAAATGAAAGAGAGTATTAATCAGGACTGTTGTGTATTATAGACCCGCCGCCGTTACCGGTTCCATGTTTTAATCCTGTACAAAACACTAAGGAAGCGAAGCCGTCTATCTCCTCATCATATTTCACTACGTCAATGTATGCAAAAACGACTTCGGTGATTGGTCAACGCGGTTGAAACGCGGGCTTCCAGGGTGAACACCAAGACAGCGATTGGTTCTTTCACCAGGTCACGCGCATCCCCTTAAGATCGAACCGCCTCTCCCCACGAGCTCTATTCGCATTACTGCCTTCAGAGGAGAAGCGCAGCCGCCATTTTGAGCACAATGACATCGTGTCATCTGAGTTACTTCTTACAATATCTGCAGTCAGACAAACCGCCAAACAGCCCGTGAGCAAATGGCCACTTTAAGTAGGTGCCTCACGCAGCAGAGAAAGGCCATCTTTTAAGAACAAAATGCCTTCTTGGTGCACTTATCGCTAAAGAACTGGAGGGTTAACAATTCTGGCCGTTTGATTAACAGAGACTAAAAACCTGTTTTCAGTTCAAGCAACTGAAAAAGACCACACCTAGCATTATCGCGAGATCTACAAGTCCCGCTGAATGACACAGCAGTTCTGTAATGACCTCTCCCTACATTAGTCAAAAAAAAGTAAAAGGATTTTACCCAAAGCAAACCACAAGAAAAATCACATTAACTACTTAAGATGCAACAAAACAGAATATCTAAATCTAAAATCCTTAAATCAAACCGATCTTTAAAATTCCTAACAAATTTTTTTTTTCAATCAATATAAGAAACAAATACAAAGCATGCTCTTCCTACATCACCTGATTTGTAATCTTTAAAGTTGACTTTCTATACCTCTGACTATCAGAACGGTTACCTAACCACATGCGCCCATCCCCCACAACAAGGTTACAAACACCCTACAATGTCACTCAAACAAACCACAGTCTTACATCAAAATGTAACACAAGTTTGAGAAACTTCTGCCCTAGGAAAACACACAAAAATAAAACAACTTTAGTTAAAAACGACAGTTAAATGAGCCAAAGGACAAATAAATAAATCTTAAAAGTATTATATAAAAAAATAATGGAAAATAAATCAAACATAAATGCCGCCTGGTAAAATCCAAAAATAATGTGAAACCTTTCTTCAAATTATCTTCTTGTCCTCCACCTCGATACTTTTTAACCAACACTTTTCCCTCAAACATGTCCGCCTTCTTCTTCCCCCTCTCCCTGAGCTGAGGGGGGGGGAGGGGGGGAGCTCACGTGACAAGGTGAGCGCAGCTGCTTATCAAAAAGTTGAACACGTGGCATTCCTCAAAAGGCCAATAAAATATATCCACTACACGGTGCTCCTGCAAAATGTCTCACCCGTGTCCATGTCCTGCGGGTTGTTTGTTTTTAACAGGGTATTAACCTACATTTTGGGATAATGGATCCAGAAGTTACGAACAAAGAACGAACTCGCGTGTGGAGCTGGCTCGACCCGATTGGTCAAAGCTTCCCACGTGACAAGAAAGGATTCAGCGCTGCTTTCCAAACCTCTTCTATTCTAATCCACGTTTCGTCGTTATAATCCGCAACATATCATGGTGTAGGTTCTGAGTTTGTCTCACACGGTTAGAATTTCTGTTTTCTCCAGGTGACGGTGGCTGTCGATCGCGCCTGTCTGTTGCGTTACGAAACATTACGCATGCGCAGCTTGCATTTGACAACGGTGCACTGCAATCGGCTGATCTAGGAGCAGTTCGCGTTATCATGCGGTAGATGCAGGTTCTTTTGAGATTCCCCGAAGAGGAGGTGGGCCGCAGAAGAGCTGACGATTGCTAGACATTAGCTATTCATACCACTTAGTTTAGAGCTTCCTGCCTACAACATTCATCTATCTATTTTGAAAAACTCTTTTGATTTGTACAGCGCCAATTCATAACAACTGTTATCCTAAGACACTTTACTAAAGAGGTAGATAGGAAGATAAATGGTTGGTCTAACATGGGACATGAAGATTTACAGATAGTGACATGCAGTAGGATATGAATGAACAGAGCCATTGGTAAACTAGAACACATTTTATGTTTCTTTGAGTATTGAACACTTGATTATTCTTTATGTGATAACTATGGCTCCAGTACCTTAACATATTGCCACATTGGTTTCAGAACGACTGCCAATCTCTGTCACATTGATCAAATGTTTTGTTGCTATTTGTTGTGTGAAACAGGCTCCGACTTGAATATCCAGAAACACAGGGGCATTAGAGGGAGGGAGGGGTTGGTGGGTTACATCAGAATCAGCCTCCTCTGACTCATCAGCTGTGCTCTCTCTCTCTCTCTCTCTCTCTCTCTCTCTCTCTCTCTCTCTCTCTCTCTCTCTCTCTCTCTCTCTGCCTGAATGTGTCTCTATCACTGCTTACAGTCTATGGGCTGCATCTGCTTGTCACATGATGACAATAAAGCCAGAGATGGTTGTCAAGGAAGATCTGTCACACGCACACGCACACACATGCACACACAGACATACACACACACACATGCACACACAGACATACACACACACACATGCACACACAGACATACACACACACACATGCACACACAGACATACACACACACAGCAACTCAGGACTTACTCATGGTTTGCACAAGTTGTACAAATAAACTGGTTGGGTATCGACAGGCAGAGATCACAGAGTGTTTTCAATCAGTTTGCAGAAGTCTGGTGTCTTAACATGAAAAACTATTTTTTATTTACAGAAGGTATTATGCATATAATGATATTATATATAAAAGTGTATTGTTAATTATTCAGTGGATAAGGGTCAAAGAGACTGAGCCTGAAAAAGGATAAACAGAAGTATAATGAGAGAGGTACATATGGTGTTATTGACAGGAGCATTGTAGGTTCAGACATAGATGTGGGCTCCATTCATGCATGTTCCAGTTAGTGACCACATATTGCACATGACAGTAAAAGTGAAGCAACATCGCACACGGTACTGAACGTGATAAAGCCCCACATGGAAAAGGAATATTGATAGTCAAGCATTTAATGTGAAGGTTATCTAAAATGGAAAGAGTAATATTCCACATGAAATGAAGTAAGATATTTTACATAATAGGAAAGTTATCATTGTACATGATAATGAAAACACTTTAGCTGTACTGTACATTATATGTATTATTATGAAAATGATTGCTCATGATATGAAAGATAATCTCCATTTTTCCTGCTGCAGGAATTAGGGGAGTTACGTCTACAGTTTGAAGTGGCTCCTGTGGTGCTCCTCGGTGGACTCTGATGGTGCGTGCTATGATACTGTATATTGCACATTGACATTGTCAACTTTTGTCACATTACTTGATACCCTTTAAAACTACTCTAATAATAAAGATACTCAAGCAAATCTTTCACATTTGTGCTCTGTCTTTTTGAAATGGGTCAGAAAAATTGATTCCTTAAAAAAATATATTTCTTAAACTTATACCAAAGATTTACAAGGTAATTGAGTATAAGACACTTTTCATGTCACAATAAGACAAAGATAGTTGTAATTTTAGTTGTAAGTTAAGTACCGTACAATTTACTGCTTATAGAGCATCACATTTGTTATATCTCTGTTCAACTGATGTTTTTCTTTACTCTAGTTTTGATCTGCGATACCAAAGCTCATCCAGTCCAGGTAGGTGAGTTTGTAGGAGAGCCACTGCTGCTTCATTATGCATTCATTCAAAACGAGTTGTAAATGTGTGAACCTGAGTAGGAACACCTCATTATACTCTCTAAGGAAGCAGTTTGGGATGTTTGATTTCCATTTGAATGCAGGCAAACATTCTCCTCCACAAGATTGGTGGAGAGTGAGGGGCATAAAATAAAAATGTTATCAATGCTTTGGCCAGGGTTTCATAAGTACAATATGATCACATTAAGTCAGCAACTGTGAATCCAACCAGCTACAGGTCAGGAAAGTCTAACTCTGAGAACAGATACAATCCCTAAAAATGAAGGTGAGATCCACATGCTTTATTATCTTTCTGTGTAATCTCTTTGTAGCATATGTCCTTGATCCTTTTTAGTTTAGTCAGAGTTTCATTTATTTATTTCTGTCTGTATGAAATGTATTCCAATATTAACCAACAAAATACCTAATGCAAGTGGAGAAAGATCATAAAAGATACGATAAAAATGAGAGAGACACAAACAGAAGAGAGAAACACTTCTTTCCACTTGTTTATGTCCTCTTAGTGATTCAAAGACTGCTGCATTGTTGTTGTTTCATCATGCAATAGTGAGATGATCCCATGTGAAAGTGAGTGTTATTTTTACATTTAGGGGAAAAATTATTTAAATATTATTATTTTTTTTATTCTGAAGAGATAAATGTAGTTCCTATATTTTATGACTCAAAGTCTGAAGGATGTCTGAGTTATCACTTTGGCTTTTGATTTACTGCAACTTCAGTCTGATCACTTTGACCTCTTGCACAATACTTCCTGTCTGATTTGGCATAATTAGTCTTTCTGGTTCAGATGTATGTAAAATGATGGTAACATTTAGTAATGTATATAAAAGTGTGCATATGTCCTACAATATAGTAATAAATAAACACAACTATATTTTGTAACCTTTAGCCTGCAGGTGTTTTAAGGTTGATTTTCTGTTCAGCCAATAAAATAAATGAATCAATAAAATCTTGCGGTGTCAACATAAAGAGAGTAACTGTTTATGCCTTAAAGGCCTGTTTTTCAGGTTAGAAAATGTGAGCCAGGTGCACTTACCCTGCTGTTGATTGGATCAGGATTCAGCAGACAGTGTCAAATACTGCTTTCGAGAAGTCAGATTATCTGAAACCTTGTCCTGGAATGAAGATTACTTTTAAATAAGGATGATCTCGTGATTAAGGATTACTCCTAATTAGTAAAAGCTTGAGGACATAACATCTGCCCAGATGTTTAGGACAGGGGTTCCCAAAGTTTTGAGCTCACGACCCCCAAAGTAAGGGTGCCAGAGACTGGGGACCCCCACTGTCCATGGAGGTGGGTAAGGCATATAATGTAGCGCAGAGCCACACACACACACACACACACACACACACACTAATAGGCCTATCCAAACATTGGTAACACAAAAGAATACAACAGCCTAAAAACCATGAAACTATTCTATATAGTAATTTTTTTGAAACTATCAAAACAATTTATTATTTATTTCTTTAAGCTGCGGGACGATCCCCCGGGGTCCCTCACTTTGGGATGCACTGTAAGGGATTCAACATGAAATAAACATGAATAAAATAAAATATCAGTCAAAATGTCCATGGCTCCAGTACAACTCTACAGTGCCATCTATTGACCATTCCAGGTGTTGACCTTTCAGCTTTTTGAAATATGTTGTGTTATGTCGCCATCTAGTGGACATTTAGCCTTAGATTACATGCAGTATATCTAAATGGGAAGACATATTTAGTCCTCACTGATGTAAGTGAGTGTGGGGTATTGGGATCTTTACTCTGATGAGGTTTTTAGTCCCAAAGACAATACACAGCAGCAGAGTTTTCATTGTTTCATTTATTCAACAGATTGTTAGTCATAGTCTTTATGTTCTATCATTTAAGATACAGTGTGGATGATCCTCGTGGTACTCATTGATTGTATAGGGGAAAAGGCCTAACAAATAATAAAAAGTAAACATTCACATCCTCTCATGAACCCAGGAAGAGAGCACAGAGTCTCTGTGTGGGTCATGTTACCTCAGTTATTGTGGTTGGTGTGTTGAAGTGGCTTCACAGCCACCTTCCCTTACTCACTTGTGGTTTCCTAAAATTGTGCACAAACCACCAGGTGGTTGCAATACTTTGTACGGGAGAAATGGGTTTGTGATGGTTGATCTGATGACATGTTTAAACAGATTGATTTATTGACTGTCCTGCAAGCACTGCCAAGAAAAAAAATTACAGCTTTCTTCCAAAATACGCAGGACACATCTTACAGCCGGTGACTGGTGTAATCTCAGCTGAAAATGCTGTTTCTTAAAAGTACTGCTGATAGTCCCTTTTGTGTTCTATTGTGTTTTCATATGTTATGTTATGTATTCTACATTTCAACATATTTTGTTCACTTCTTTTTAGTTCTTCTTTTTTTAAGCCATGCAGAAAAGAAAGAAATGTCCACACTCTTACGCAATGCCACAAAACTGTTGAACAAGTAAGCAAGACCAGCAGCTGACTCTGTGTCAGTGGAGAAGGTAAGTCGGGGACTTTAGAGCTCCATAACATTCAAAGACATGCAGAGCACATAACATCACCATTACACATCTGAGGTCATCTATCTATATATATTTTTTAATGTCCTATTTTGCTTAGTATAATATTTCTGTATTTCTTTTGGATCCATTTTGTTTTAAACACGTTTTCATATTTAATCTTCTCTGTGATTGTGATTTTCTTGGTGAATTTTCTATTTTAAAGTCTCTTTTCCCTCCGTCGTGATGCTTTTGATGTTGTGTGTGAAGCATTTTGAATTGCCTTGTTGCTGAAACGTTCAACAGAAATAAACTTGACTTGACAAAAAGTTTAATTAATCAGAACGTTTTAACCGTGTTCACACTTGACTTTCTGCTTTCAGCGCCTTTTGAGTTTATGTGTGAGTGTTCTGTGAACATAACAACAGGATGTAGTCTGCGGTGCAACCGCGCCGGAACAC